GTAAACAAACACTGCACAGGTAAACAAACGCTGCACAGGTAAACAAATGCTGCACAGGTAAACAAACACTGCATAGGTAAACAAACACTGCACATGTAAACAAACACTGCACAGGTAAACAAACACGATGCACAAGTAAATAAACAAGAAGCACGTACATAAACTGCATAGATAAACAATAACATAATGGTACTTCCTCCAGCTATCTAACAAACAACAATGGTGTACCTCAAGGCTCAGTCTTAGGACCCACCCTTTTCACAATCTACATAGGTAATGTAGGTAAAAACATCCCTGATGCATCCATACATTTCTATGCTGATGACACAGTTGTTTATTGTCGAGCTAAAACAGTTGATGAGATTTTCCAGCTTTTGCAATCTGCATTTAACATCATCCAGTCAGGTTTGTTCCATCTCAAACTTGTCCTAAACGCCGACAAAGCCAAAGGGATGCTTTTTTCTGACAGGAAGTCGGTCCCAGCAGTTCTTCCTCTAATTTTATCCTCAAATGGTGTCCCTACTGAGTTTGTTGATTCCTATAAATATTTGGGTATCTTGGTCGACTCGCATCTTTCTTTTAAGCTCCATGTGGAAAACCTAGTAAAGAAACTGAAAGTTAAACTGGGTTTATCTAAAAAAGTTAAATCTGGTCCTCTGGTCATTCAAAAAAAATAAGCAAACCAAAACAACAAAAAATGTAGAAACGTTTCGTCTCTCATCCAAGAGACTTCTTCAGTCTGAGGTGCTGTATTCAGCTCAGTCTCTTAAATAGCACCTTCTCAGAGTGGATCAACCAGTTTGCTGCTGACAACCAGAACCAGCTGATCACATGCTCAAGAAGGACCATCAGCCTAACAATGGATCATTAGCACCTGATGGCTGTTTACTGTTCACAGAGGGCTGAGTGATACTAGCAATCACAGCATTGTAAGAGGGGGACAGTTGAACCAGGAGGCTCCACCCCTGTTTAATGATGGACGATTTCTTTTCACAAAGATGGCCTCCTTTACTCCTCTCTCAAACCATCGTTCCTCTCTGTCCAGGATGTGAACATCTTCATCCCTGAAAGAGTGACCGCTGGCCTGGAGATGAGTGTAGACCTCAGAGTCCTGGCCTGATGATGTTGATCTTCTGTGCTGGGCCATCCTTTTGGCCAGTGGCTCTTTAGTTTCCCCGATGTAAGACTGATCACCCTCCTGACACTGAACAGCATACACAATATTACTCCGTTTTTACTCCTCGACATACCTCGAGAATGTTTATGGATCTCACCGGAGGACATTGACTGATTACAGTGACCTCGAGAGCATCTATAAGCGTTGTTGACCGCTCTCGTCTCTGATTGCAGAATGTCTACGTAAATATGTGCTTGTTTGTGCGAGGTGTTTTTTCAATATTAGAGGTTTTTTTTTTTCTCATGCAAGAAAAAAAGTCTGATAGGAATTTTTTTCACCTCCAACTCCTACATGTGTCCAGTTAACCACTGTTTTTTGATTGTCCAAACAGGTCTCACATGTAAATGAGTCTTCGAGTCTCAATGTGATTTATCTGTTTAAACAAAGGTTGAGCCCCTCCCTGGGCTGCCACCTTACCGTGGTGGAGGGGTTTGAGTGTCTCATTGATCCTAGGAGCTATGCTGTCAGGGGCTTTACGCCCCTAGTAGGGTCACCCATGGCAGACAGGTCCTAGGCTCTGGCTCTGGAACCAGTTTCCTTGAGAGGGGCTGGACACTTTTCCACTCTGGAGTTGCCCCTGGTGAGAGGCGCCGAGCAGGAGTGGGCATACTTATTGCCCCTGAACTTGGTGCCTGTGTGTTGGGGTTCACCCCGGTGAATGAGAGGGTGGCCTCCTTCCACCTACGTGTGGGGGGGACGGGTTCTGACTGTCGTTTGTGCTTATGCACCAAACAGCAGTTCAGATTATCCACCCTTTTTGGAGTCCTTGGAGGGGGTACTGGAAAGTGCACCTCTTGGGGACTCCCTTGCTCTGCTGGGGGACTTCAATGCTCATGTGGGCAATGACAGTGAGACCTGGGGGGGTGTGGTTGGGAGGAACGGCCCCCCTGATCTGAACCCGAGTGGTGTTCTGTTGTTGGACTTCTGTGCTCGTCATGGATTGTCAATAACAAACACCTTGTTCAAGCATAAGGGTATCCATATGTGCTCTTAGCACCAGGACACCCTAGGCCGCATTTCGATGATCGACTTTTTCATCGTCTCATCTGATCTGCGGCCACATGTCTTGGACACTCGGGTGAAGAGAGGGGCGGAGCTGTCCACTGATCACTACCTGGTGTTGAGTTGGCTCCGATGGTGGGGGAGGATGCCGGTCAGACCTGGCATTCCCAAACGTATTGTGAGGGTTTGCTGGGAACATCTGGCAGAGTCTCCTGTGAGACAGAGTTTTAACTCCCACCTCCGGGAGAACTTCGAACATGTTCCGAGGGAGGTGGGGGACATTGAGTCTGAGTGGACCATGTTTCGTGCCTCTATTGTCGAGGTGGCTTACCGGAGCTGCGGCCACAAGGTTGTCGGTGCCTGTCGCGGCGGCAACCCTCTAACCCGATGGTGGACACCATTGGTGAGGGATGCTGTCAGGATGAAGAAGGAGTCCTATTTTGCCTTTTTGGCCTGTGGGACCCCGGAAGCAGTTGATGGGTACCGGCAGTTCAAGCGACATGCGGCTCGGGTGGTCGCTGAGGCAAAAACTCGGGCATGGGAGGAGTTTGGAGAGGCCATAGAGAATGACTTCCGCACGGCTTCGAGACGATTCTGGTCCACCATCCGGCATCGCAGGGGGGGAAAGCGGTACGCCACCAACACTGTTTATAGTGGGAGTGGTGTGCTGCTAACTTCAACTCGGGATGTTGTGGGTCAGTGGGTGGAATACTTTGAAGACCTCTTCAATACCACTGGCACGTCTTCCACTGAAGAAGCGGAGCCTGGGGACTCTGGGTCAGGCTCTCCAATCTCTGGTGCTGAGGTCACCGAGGTGGTTAAAAAGATTCTCGTGGCAGGGCCCCAGGGGTGGATGAGATTCGTCCAGAGTTCCTTAAGGCTCTGGATGTTGTAGGGTTGTGTTGACTTACGCGACTCTGCAATATTGCGTGGACATTGGGGGAAGTTCCCCTGGATTGGCAGACTGGGGTGGTGGTCCCCCCATTCATAAAGGGGGACTGTAGAGTGTGTTCCAACTACAGGGGAATCACGCTCCTAAGCCTCCCTGGTAAGGTCTATTCAGGGGTTCTGGAGAGGAGGGTCCGTCGGATAGTCGAACCTCAGATTCAGGAGAAGCAATGGGGTTTTCGTCCTGCTCGTGGAACACTGGACCAGCTCTACACTCTCAACAGGGTCCTGGAGGGTGCGTGGGAGTTTGCCCAACCGGTCTACATGTGCTTTGTTGACTTGGAGAAGGCGTTCGACCGCGTCCCTTGGGGAACCCTGTGGGGAACCCTGTGGGGGATACTCTGGGAGTATGGGGTACCGGACCCTTTGATACGGGCTGTTAGGTCCCTGTATGACCGGTGTCAGAGCCTGGTCCGCATCGCCGGCAATAAGTCGGGCTTGTTCCCAGTGAGAGTTGGGCTCCGCCAAGGTTGCCCTTTGTCACCGATTCTGTTCATAACTTTTATGGACAGAATTTCTAGGCATAGCCAAGGTGTTGAGGGGATCCGTTTTGGTGGCCTTAGGATTGCGTTTCTGCTTTTTGCAGATGATGTCAAGTCAAGTCATATTTATTTATAGAGCACAATTTAAAACAGATAGACTGTTATCAAAGTGCTTAACACTAATGGTAACACTAAGAAATAAAAAGCAGTAAGAATATACCTTAAAAAATTAAAACAACAGCATTAAAATGAAGACATGGAACAAGATACACTAAATCAACTCACACAGTATGAAACACCAGAGAGAACAGATATGTTTTTAGTAGGGATTTGAACACAGGAAGGGAGGTGGCCTGCCTAATGTTGGGGGGTAGGTTGTTCCACAGTTTGGGACCCATGACTGAAAACGCCCGATCTCCTCGGAGCTTCAGTCGTGTTTTTGAAACAACCAAAAGCAGCTGATCGGATTATCTCAGAGCCCGAGAGGGAACATATGGTTCCAGTAGCTCAGAGAGGTAGATGGGTGCGAGGCCATTTAGGCACTTATAGGTCAGGAGGAGAATTTTGAAATCAATCCTAGTTCTCACAGGAAGCCAGTGTAGGGAGGACAGAACTGGTGTGATGTGCTCATACCTCGGTGTACCGGTTAAAAGCCGAGCTGCAGCATTCTGGATGAGCTGTAGCCGTGAGATAGAGGCCTGGCTGACCCCAGCATACAGTGAATTACAATAGTCCAGGCGGGTTGTGATGAATGCATGGACTAGTGTCTCAAGGTCGGGTCTAGACAGCACTGGCTTGAGCTTAGCTACCTGCCGCAGTTGGAAGAAGCTTCTCTGCAGAACCAAACTGATCTGTTTGTCGAACTTAAAATCCGAGTCAAAAACCACTCCAAGGTTTTTAACAGAGTGCTTCAGATAAGGCTGAAGGGAGTCCAGGTTCACAGGATAAGAGGCGGCAGCTGAGCTAGGGCTAAAGACAATGACTTCAGTCTTCTGGTCGTTAAAACTTAGAAATTTTGAAGCCATCCATGTCTTAATGTCGCCCAGACATTTGAGGAGAGGGTGGACGGAACAAGCACTGGCTGGTTTCAGTGGCAGGTAGATCTGACAGTCATCGGCGTAGCAATGGAATGGAATACCATGTTTTCTTAGGATCGACCCCAGCGGAAGCAGATAGAGCGAAAATAGAAGGGGTCCGAGAATCGAGCCCTGTGGGACACCGCAGAAAAGAGGCATTGAAGTGGATAGATTTTTACCCACCTTCACACAAAAACTCCTGTCATAGAGGTATGAGCGGAACCAGTCTAATGCAGCACCTGTAATCCCAACCCAGTGTTCAAGCCGAGAGATGAGGATACTGTGGTCAACAGTATCGAAAGCGGCAGTAAGATCGAGGAGTACAAGAGCCACAAAATGACCAGAATCATTTGCTGTTAAAATGTCATTACAAACCCTAACCAAAGCTGTTTCGGTGCTGTGGAGCTGCTTGAAACCAGTTCAAGTTCAAGCACAAAGAATATTAATTATTTAAATACAACGGATTCTTTCTTTTTCGAGTTAAATTATGTGTCATGTGACTGAGATAACTGTGAGGATTGTTTAATCAGTGACATGAGACGCCATTTTATGTTTGACCCATCAGAATAAATGCGGTCATTTATTTAACAGAATCAAAACTTAACATCAAAACATGTACACATTGATTTGCTGATCTGTTTCTGATTAATAAAAACTTGGCACGCTTTACTAACAAGACAACAGAACATTACTGATTGAGGCATCTAGATTACTGGCAAAATATAAAAGTTTAAGGGAAGGAATAGATAAGTTTAAAGGGAAGATGGATGAAGGAAGATGGATGTTTGTTGGCCAGAATTAGCACGCTCCTTTCAACACCAGCTCAAACCCCCAGTCCACTTAGTGCGTGACAACTCGTGACGTCTCTTTACCTTTGCAGATGATGGATCAGCTCCGGTCTAGATGTCCCTATGTACGCTACCTTTACAGCGTCTCCTGTCAGGGTGGCTAGTCATCGTCAGAAGTCGTGTGGTTTTTACTCCGTTCAACAGAACAAGCTTCCTTCGAAGTTGTAGGGCGTTACACCCGGGTGAGTTCACAGCGAGGCGCTGTGACTCCAGCTGGGATGGACGGACCCTCGTCTCACGGTCAAATCCATCAGCTATTGATTAAATCTGAAAGTTCCTTAGGAACTCTCAGGAAGACTCCATAGTCCCAAGAAAGACTCAGGAAAACTGAGTAAGACTCCAGGAAGACTGAAGAAGACTGAGTCCGAAGTTTCACTCAGAAGTGGAAGACTCTGGTGAAAGACCGGATAGTTCCAGGAAGTGTTGACTTTTAAAGAGTACTCACTTCCGTTCACTTGGTACTTCCTGATTGGTTGAAACAACCAACAGGGGCGGTGTTTCAGTGATGTCAGAGGGTTATTAGGAGTCAAAAAGACAGCAGGAATGTTTACGAACGTTTAGTACAGACAGAGGAATGTTATGGCGAAGTGAGACAAACGCAGATGCCAGCTTCTTATTTACTGTCTGCTAGGTTTAAAAACAAGACACTTTGTTCTAATAACTTGCTTTCTGACTGTCTCTGACTTTCGACCGACATCACTACTCCTCATTCAGACAGAAGATCAAAATGCATAATTACTTTGTAAATAGACATTTAACTTGATTTCTAAGTCTAATGAGGTCTAAAAATCATTAATACTGTTTCACAGTTGATTTTAAAATGAGTGGCTCACTTCAACATTTAGAAATGGTATGAACTAAACACACTTTGATTATCAAGATATTGTAAAATAGTAATGATAATGTAAAAAAGAAGAGTGTTCTTTCAATTGATTAATTCAGGATACAATTAAATAGTTTCTTGATGAGCTAATTTGTATTTCTGGATTCAAATCAATGAAATAGCAGTTCCTGTCCCCTGAAGGTTTTCAGAGACAGATTGGTGTCGGAGGTCTAGTTCACTACAATATTGCTCCCCATATATGAAGTAGGTTGACTGCAGGCACAGTTTCAAGAGTTGACACAGTTGTTCTGTGGAAAGCGTGGTCCTGCTGCTCAGAGTGGTGTCTGATTTTAATCTTAAACTGACACCTCTTGTATCTGTAGAACCTCTTGTATCTGTAGAACCTTGTGACAGACTCTGTTTGCTGCAGGTTTGTGTCCAGCTGGCTGGACCTGTTTTATAACGGAGATACAGATGTCCAGACTGACACCGAGCTTCAGAACTGGGTCTCTGACATCACCACACACGGCTTCCCAGAAAACTCAGGTGAGGTTATTTATCATCCAACCTGTTTGTTACAGAACCAGAACATGGATTCCTCCAGCAGAAATGGTGTTAGAACCTGTAGATCTACACCCAGGACAAAAAGACGTCCTAAAATAAATACCACAAATAAGCAACTTTATTGCATTTTTAAAGAACAATTTTGAATAGAGGTCCAAATCACAAATATGATTCGACACACAGTCCACAATACAAATGACATCACAATACAGCAACGGTCCATACATTTGTGCACAATTACAAAAATAATTAATCACTACCTTTACAGGACCTTCACATTAATCGCGCCTTTGCAACATTGCATGGACATCGGGGGCAGTGCCACTGGATTGGCAGACTGGGGTGGTGGTTCCCCTCTTCAAAAAGGGGAACCGGAGGGTGTGCTCCAATTATAGGGGCATCACTCTCCTTAGCCTCCCTGGTCAGATTTGTTCAGGGGTACTGGAGAAGCGAGTCCGATTGTTGGTCGAACCTTAGACCCAGGAGAAACAATGCGGGTTCTTTCCTGGCTGTGGAACAATGGATCAGCTCGTTTCCCTCACTAGGGTCCTCCAGGGGTCATGGGAGTTTGCCCATCCAGTCTACTTGTGTTTTGTGTACTTGGAGAAGGCATTCAACCGTGTTCCTCAGGGTACACTGTGTGGGGTGCTCCGTATGAGATTGGGGGCCTTTGCTACGAGCTGCTCAGTCCCTATGCAAGCGGTGCGAGAGTTTGGTTTGCATTGCCGGCAGTAAGTCGGACCCTTCAGGGTGGGAGTTGGACTCCACCAGCTGCCCGTTAGCTGCCACATGGTTCAACAGAAATGGGACTTTTAATTAGTCTAGCAATAGTACTAAACAGAAACCTAGGGTTATTTTTATTCTCCACTATTAAAGATGAGTAATATAAAGTTCTAGCTTTACGGAGAGCTTTTTTATATGTTAGCAGACTATCTTTCCAAGTTAAATAAAATTCTTCAACATTAGTAGAGCACCATTTTCTCTCCTGGTTTCTAGATGCTGCTTTAAAGTAGGTAACTCAGAATTGAACCAAGGAGCCAGTTTCCTCTGATTGATTACTTTCTTTTTCAGTGGAGCAATTTTATCAAGTGAAGTTTGCATTGAAGTTGTAAGATGATCAACTAGATGATCTAAGTCTCTGTTCTCTGATGCATTACTCTGCAAGACAGAGGAAACATTGATGGAAGAGATTGTTTCAATTTGGTTACAGCATTTTCTGATAAGCACCTGCTGAGATGAAATTTACTCTCAGTGACTGTGTAGTCATTTAATATAAACTCAAAGTTATTAAAAAATGGTCGGACAGAACAGGATTTTGAGGAACTATTACCAAGTCCTTAATCTCTACACCATAGGTCAGAACTAAATCAAGAGTGTGATGATAAGAATGAGTAGATGTGCGAATGTCTTGGGTAAAACCAAATGAGTCTATTAAATTATTAAAGGCTATGCTTAAACTATCACTCTCAACATCCACATGAATATTGAAATCATCCATTATGATGATTTTATCAGTATTTAATAATAAGTCAGTTAATAATTCTGAGAATTCAGACAAAAACTGAGAGTAAGCGCCTGGTGGACGATATATAACAACTAGTAAAAGTGGCTTTTCTGATTTCCATTTTGGATGAGAAAGACTGAGGGACAGCGATTCAAAAGAATCATAACTAATAACTGGTTTGGCATTAATCAATAATCCTGACTGAAAAATAGAAGCTACTCCTCCACCTCGGCCAGTTGTTCTAGGAACATGAACATTTAAATAATTAACAGGAGTGGATTCATTTATACCAACAAAATCCTCCTGTTGTAGCCAAGTTTCTGTCAGACACAATAAATCAATATGATGATCAGTTATCAGTTCATTAACTAACAGGGATGTAGAGGAAACAGATCTGATGTTCAATAATCCACATTTAATGATTTTGCTCTGGTAAAGTAACTGTGTTTATTTTAATCAGATTTTTATGGTTTGTATTTTTAGAGCTGATTTTTTGTTTATTTAATTTGAGCCGTGGGCGAGTTGACACTGTTTCAATGTGGGTGTGGGTGGGTAACAGAGGAGAAGCAGCAGAGAGGGGGAGGACTACACCTCTGCTTCCTGGACTGGACCCTGGGTTGTCAATAATTTGGGGAATAAACAAAATCAGGCATATTTCTAGAAAGAAGAGCGGCTCCGTCCAAAGTGGGATGGATGCATCTCTCCGCATCAGACCAGGTTTTCCCCAGAAAGAACTCCAGTTATCTATGTAGCCCACGTCGTTGTCAGAACACCACCTGGACACCCAGCGGTTAAACGACGACATACGGCTAAACATGTTATCGCTGGTCAGGTTGGGGAGGGGGCCGGAGAAAACTACGGAGTCCCACATGGTTTTAGCAAAGTCACACACCAAAGCAACATTAATTTTAGTGACCTCTGATTGACGTAACCGGGTGTCATTACCGCCAACATGAATAACAATCTTACTGTATTTAGCCTTAGCCTTAGTCAGCAGTTTCAGATAAGATTCTATGTCGCCCGCTCTGGCCCCCGGAATGCATTTGACTATGGCCGCTGGAGTCCCTAAAGCCACGTTTGGGACTATGGAGCTTCCAATAACCAGGGTCTGTTTCTCAGCAGGTGTGTCCCTGAGCGAGGAAAATCGATTAGAAACGTGAACGGGTCGGTGGTGAACTGGGGGCTTAGCCTTAGCACTACGCTTGCTCCGGACCATCACCCAGCCGGCCTGGGGTCCCGGCTGCTCGGGATCTGCTGGAGGACCGCTAACGGGAGCTAGCCTCTGTGGTTCCATGCTGTCTAAGGGGACCTGGCTAGCTACTGTTCTTTCTACAGCGCGGAGCCGAGCTTCCAGTTCAGACAGCCTCTCCTCCAAAGCTATCATACGACTACATTTGTTACATGTATCATTACCACTAAAGGAGGCAGAGGAGTAACTAAACATCTGACACACGGAGCAAGAGAAAACAGGAAGCAGGGAGAGAAGCAGCAGCCATGCTAAGGTAATGCTAGCAGGAGCTAGCAGAGCCAAATACACCAATAAAAACTGAGAAGTGTTGAAAGATAAGAGGTGTTTTAAGCACTGTCCAACAGTAGAGAAACAACTGTACTAAGTGTGTTTGTGAACTAGAATGAAAAACTGTGCAAAAGATAAATCCAGAAAACAGAGACGACTCGAGCAAACAATTCACTCGAGCTACCGACAGACAAACAGGAAGTGACACAATACGTCACACCACGAACGTGCAACGTCACACCACCCGTTGTAACCTGGGAGGAGACAAAACAGCAGTGAGCCCAACCTCAGCAAGGGACCTATAAAATTCAGTCAACTAATCACCAACAATAGTAAGTTTGAAGGCTGACAATGAGTTGGGACTCTACTCACCTGCTGACACACACATGCAGACATGCACAGACACAGGACGAGGAGGAGGAGGAAAGCAGCAAGCTTGGCCTTCATCCCACGAAAGCCAGAACAGCACGCATAACACGATCTGCTGCTCAGCCACAACCAAACCCCACATGGTTTGAGAGCCACGTAGTGGGAGCAGGAAGAGGAAACCAAGTGCCAGAACAGGCATCGCTGCCTCCTTTTATACTCCGCCCACTTATCTAACAGGAAGTGACATTTCCCTAGCCGGGTACATTTCTATACTGCTACACAAACAACCAAACAACCAACCAAGCAACCAACCGACCGAGCAACCAACCAAACAACTGGCCAACCAACCAACCAAAC